CGTTCCTTAACGGAAACCAAAGAGTTGTTGTTGGTCTTCAAAGGCACCCCCAAACGATCCAAAAATGCACCTGCGGACAACCCTATACACTAGGCCTCCAGCCGCAACCAACCAGCTCGGAGACAACCATACCGTCCGCAGTGCAGCACCACCACCTTCCAGTTAAACCTTGGTTAACTGGGAATATCCACCGGGCCCCCCATACCACGGATGGGGTCCCACACCATTGTTTTCCTTCCAAGATGAGAACCGCCTCCAAAGACCAACAACCGCCCACGAACCAACAGAAAAAACCCACCTCTCCAACCAGTGTCACCTTTTTTTTTTTTTTTTTTTTTTTTTTTTTTTTTTTTTTTTTTTGAGTTTTCTGCTCACCTGCCCCCGGACAAGACCCTATACCCAACCTAACAGGGAGGGCGGGAGGGAAGCTCTGGTCCTTGCACCCATCCAGCTCCACTGACGCCCCTTCCGCAGCAACCCCCACCCTACGGTGCCACAGACCCCTCCTACACTCCACATTTGCCAATCCCGTAATTCCCAATCCATTCCCCACCCCTTGGAGCTAAATTTTAACCCTTTCCGTTCCCTACCACTCTGGGCCTAGTCATGTATGCCCTGCGCTATTTCCATTCTTCCCTATTCGCTACGGGCATTTCTCTAATACCTCCAGTTACTATTCCACCACATGTGACTGTGAAGACTCTGCACTCGCCAAATCGCATTGACCCCCTTGTTATACAACAACAAGAAAAGTCGTGTTGCCCTTTATGATCACCCAAGGACCTGGTTGGATCTTCTGCTCGGCACCTCGTTCTGTTGTCACCTCCTCACCAACAGGCAAAACTGATACTTCACTGGCTCAAATGACATATAATCCACAAAGAGAAGAGGAATCCTTTCATGGCGTGAGAAACATTTGTTATTTTAAAAGGTAGGTTGCATATAAAAAAATACTCTGCCCATAAAAGCGCAATCGCATACAAGCAATCTCTCTTATGATCCCACGGAAGCCTGCGTCTCCACCAGTGGTGTATTTAGGTTTTGTGCTGCTCCAAGCAACACAAATATTCTCTGCCCCCACAGACACCGACCAACACCCCCCCCCCTTCCCCCTCCCGCGGAGAGAGCCTGACATTGACCAACAATACCCCTGCCCCCTACCTAGGAGAGCCTTCCACTCCCCCCCCACCCCCGGTGATAGAAAGACATTCATCTTCACAGCTCCAGACATCCCCTGGAACAAGAGTCAGGCTCTACATACACCATGAAGCAACCTCTCTCAGATACACAAACAAGTTATATACACAGGGTGGGGAAACGCAACCAGGAACAGGAAACACATCATCAGCCCACCCCATCAGTGGGAAGGGCTGCAGGAAACACATCATCAGCCCACCCCATCAGTGGGATGGGCTGCAGGAAACACATCATCAACCCACCCCATCAGTGGGGAGGGCTACAGTATGGGCAGGAAACACATCATCACCCCTCCCCATGCAACCAAGACACAGAACAATGGGCTGCAGCACATGGCAAGGACAAAGGACAGCCACGTGGCCGAGAACAAAGGACAACACACCAATACACAATACTAGGACATTCACATTCACACCCTGTACTCCCTAATGGGCACAGGGTGCCTTAAACATAATGGGGAGAACATGAGCTGACACAGAGGTCCCCCCACCCCCAAAAGTCACTCCCGTCACAGTTCCTATGGTGTGCATGTCCCTTCCTTCATCTCTTATTCTGGGGGGGAGGTGCTGCCCCCCTGCATAATGCCACCCTAGGCAAGTGCCTTGTTTGCCTTGTGGTAAAAATGCCCCTGGTCTCCACACATTCCACGTTAGACCGAAAGTGACACACCATAAAGTCCTTGGACTTCTGAAGACGTCACGCATTGATAATGAAGCGCGTTAAGCGGAACTTCCGGTGGGTCACTTCCTGTCTAGCATGTTATGCATGCTTAAGGAGTCCCCAGTGAACAAAAACAGACAAGGGCGCACTCTCATCGTACATTACCGTGGGAACCCATGTATTTATTGAATAAACAAATGGATATATACTCACAAACCAATGGAAATAAAAGCAGAATGTGTGGTCCGCAAGGAAGGGGGTTCATCTCCCGAAACGCGTCAGCTTATCCTTATTAAGGGCACAGCATTGCATCAACTGTCATTGCGGACCACACATTCTGCTTTTATTTCCGTTGGTTTGTGAGTGAATATCCATTTGTTTATTCAATAAATATGTGGGTTACCACAGTGTCAGGGCTCCCGGTAAAACCAGAGAGTCGTGAACTGACACAGGGAAACGCAGGCTCAAGTATGGTGTAACAATATAATTAATTAAGGGTTATACACAAATATAATGCACAATATAACAAAACCAAACCTCCAACTGATAACAGAATGTACACAGATAAGAGCAGTCAGGGCTGGTGAGGTGGAGTGGTCAGGCGGGCCGGGTCAGGAATCATCGGGCAGACAAGACACAAAGGAGTAGGCAGAGCGTAGTCAGACGGGCCGGGTCAGGAACAATCAGGCAGACAAGATACCAAAGGAGCAGGCTGGAGAGTGGTCAGAAATAGCCGAGGTCAGGACAGGCAGAGTTCATTCAGGGTCAGGATCAAGCAGAATCAGGAATCAGGCAGGAAGCAGACAGGATGCAGGTACAGGGGCTCATGGGAAACATACACCAAGGCACTGACTGCAGGTCTGGCCATTCCTTAAATACACCTCCTGCAATCAGCCTCAGGTGATGGCTGACTGCAGGAGTGAGCTTCTGGTTGCTGAGAGCACCCGCTGGCCAGCCCTGGTACTGCAGCCCTCAAGGCAGGTGAGTCCCACCACCATTGGCAAGTCCATTCCTGACACACAGTAATGCACGATGAGAGTGCGCTCTTGTCTGTTTTTGTTCACCAGTGTCCAGCTTTCCCGATCTTTGAAGGGCAGCACCTCTCCGTTTGGCATTCTTAATTTCCTATAGTCTGCATGAAGATTTGAGCGCTGGTTTCGTTTGTTTGCCTTTTGTTTAAGGAGCCCTCAACTCAGAAGAGAGTTTGCTTGTATGCATTTTTTTAACCCCTTCACGCCGGCACCTCCCAGCCCTTTAAGAGTTTCCGAAGCCGGGAGGCGGGGCGGGGTTTAGGGACATGTAACTGCCGTGACACACCGTCACGGCGGTCACATGATCGGGAAAGGTCCCGATCGAAAGAGGAGATCGGCACCTTTCTGTGAGTACCGGACACGTGTGTGCTGGGACCGGGCACCATCACACGTCTTTTTTTAATAGAACGCAAATGTACGGCCGCTCGGCGTCTAGGCCCAGATGCCGGGAGGCCGCACATTTGCCTTCGGGCGGCGTGAAGAGGTTAATATGCAACCTACTTTTTATTAAAACAAATGGGTTTCACACCATGAAAGGATTCCTCTTCTCTTTGTGGATTATATGTCATTTGAGCCAGTGCAGTATCGGTTTCACCTGTTGGTGAGGAGGTGACAGCAGAACAAGGTGCCGATCAGGAGATCCAACCAGGTTGTTGGGTGATCATAAAGCGCAATACAATCCAAGAACACTTAAATGTTTCTACGCAATGTTTCTCGTAGAATGTGGTTAGAGTTTTTCTGCATTTCTATGTTGACATAATATGCCTTTTATGTCGCCTGTTTGGTCGTTACAATGTATGCCTTAAAAACCCAATAAATATTCTTTAAAAAAAAAAATAAAGCACAACACGACTTTTCTTGTTGTATAACAAAGGTGTCAATGTGATTTGGTGAGTGCGAAGTGTTCACGGTCACATGAGGTGGAATAGTAATTGGTGGCATTGGTGGATACAACACTTCTTTTTCACTTTTTTAGGGACACTTTTTACATACCTATAGGTACTCTCCAAAATGAAAAGGGCATCGAACAAAACCATTATACTTGTCTTTTAAACAGGGGCGGACTGACAACTCATGGGGCCCCCGGGCAATAGGGAATCATGGGGCCCCTGCAAGGGCAGAATGACAACTCATGGGGACCCCGGGCAATAGGGGATCATGGGGCCCCTGCAGGGGTGGACTGACAACTCATGGGGACCCCGGGCAATAGGGGATCAAGGGGCCCCTGTGTCCTTGGCCAAACTCAAAAAAGCCTATGAAAAAGGTACCAGGGGCATCTCATGGGGCCCCCTACTGACCCCAGGCCCTCGGGCAGTGCCCGAGTTTCCAAATGGTCCTTCCGCCCCTGGGCCCCTGTGTCCTTGCCCAAACTCAAAAAAGCCTATGAAAAAGGTACCAGAGGCATCTCATGGGGCCCCTTACTGGCCCCAGGCCCTCGGGCAGTGCCCGAGTTTCCAAATGGTCAGTCTGCCCCTGGGCCCCTGTGTCCTTGCCCAAAACTCAAAAAAGCCTATGAAAAAAGGTACCAGGGGCATCTCATGGGGCCCCCTACTGACCCCGGGCCCTCGGGCAGTGCCCAAGTTTCCAAATGGTCATTCCACCCCTAGGCCCCTGTGTCCTTGCCCAAACTCAAAATAGCCTATGAAAAAGGTACCAGGGGCATCTCATGGGGCCCCCTACTAACCCCGGGCCCTCGGGCAGTGCCCAAGTTTCCAAATGGTCAGTGCGCCCCGCTTTTAAATAACACTTACAGGTCTTGTTCCTACCTGAAGCTGTAACCGGACAGTGTAGAAGAAGCAGCAGACAAATTAGTTCATTTCTCTGTCACTCTGCTCACTCCTCATATCAGCATGCTCACTATTAACACAACTGATTGGCTCCATGCACCTCCCTATCCCAGTCTGAGCTCTGCTGTACAATGGATTGCAATAGGCGGCACTGATGGGCACTGATAGGCAGCACTAAAGGGCACTGATAGGCAGTACTAATGAGGTGGCACGGATAGGCGGCACTGATAGACAGCACTAATGAGGTGTCACGGATAGGCGGCACTAATATGCAGCACTGATAGGCGGCACTGATAGGTGACACTGATGATGGGTACTGATAGACGGCACTGACTGGCATCACTGCTGGGCACTGACTGGCGGCACTGACTGGCACAACCCCTGGGCACTGACTGGTGGCACTGACTGGCAGCACTGCTGGGCTGCACTGGTGGATGGCACTGGTGGGCAGCACTGGTGGGTGGGCACAGGTGGGTGGCACTGGTGGGCACAGGTGAGTGGCACTGGTGGGCACAGGTGGGTGGACACAGGTGGGTGGCACTGCTGGGCACAGGTGTGTGACACTGCAGAGTGGCACAGGTGGGTGCACTGCTGGGCACAGGTGGGTGCACTGCTGGGCACAGGTGGGCGGAGCTAGTGGGCTCACTGCTGGGCACAGGTGGGCGGAACTTGCGGGTGGCACTGCTGGGCACCGATCATCAGGGCACTGATCATCAGTGCCCTGATGATCGGTGCCGATCCCCGCTCTGACAACTGCCGGTTCTCGGCAGTACTTTCCTCACGATCTGACAGCGTGAGGAAAGTGCAGCCGAGAACCGGCACTTGCATTTCCCTCTGATCAGCGTGTCATTGGACACCGCTGATCACGTGGTAAAAGGCCGCTGTGATCGGCCTTTTACCACATCACGTGATCAGCTGTGTCCGTAGGACACCGCGATCACGGAGATCGCTGGGTGCGCGCCCCCTGGGGCGCGCAGGAGAGCGCGTTCTGGGAGGCCGTCATATGACGTCCACCCAGAACTGGCCGGCCGCAGTGCATCCGTCATTCGGCTATCTACGGTCGGCAACTAGTTAATGTTAGGCCAAATTCAGGCACTTACGCTGCATGCATTTAAACAAAAAAAGAATATGTAATGCTATATTAATAGAGAGCTGTATTAATTTTTGTCATGATATCTGCCTGGAGTGCAATTTCAAGGAAGATTCTGCAGTACGTATTCTGGCTTGTGAGCCAAGTAATTCTGAACACATTATAAAGATCATAAAACTGGTCTTGGGGATATCTTATTAAACAGGAGAGCTTGCACTTCTATCTTTTATTCATGGATTGATGTCCGAGCCGGTATCAGAACTTACAGAACTGCATTTGTACCGTATGTGTACATCCTAGCTTATGTAAATACATGAATAAAATATCCATAGATTTACAACTGGTGATTTTACAGCTGACTCCCATGGAGAAGAGGAAGAGCGGCTTGTGCGCCATATATCATAAATGTTTCAATATATCTTATCCTCGGCTAAGTGACAGTAGACATATCTACGCAGCAGTCGTGACGGCGTGTCCGTGAACAGGATAGACAAGCCTTGCTTCTGTGGACCAATCAACCAAATAGGTTTCAATTCCTCAGCGTTCCACATGCATGGAACGCACCCACTTGAAATAAAAATTACGCATATGCAAGCACAAAGCAAATTAATGCAAGTTACAGAACTGCAACGAACCTAAACTTATGAAAACTAGAGAAAAAAAAAAAGCTAATAGCTTTGCTCAGTATTCTTATTTGGGCATATAATTACAGGCAGTGTTGTATGCATAAAGAAATGCCCGTACAAAAAAAGAAAGAAGAAATGGCGCAGGGCATACATGACTAGGCCCAGAGTGGGGAAGGAGGAACAGAGAGGGTTAAGGCAGATCCAAGGGGTTTGTTTTGATAGTGGGGGTATTTGGTTGGTGGAAAGTTGAGAGTAGGTGGGGTTTCCTGCACCTTAGGGTGGGGGGTTTCAGTGAGGGGGCGTCAGTTGAGCTGGAAGTCAGGAGTGAGAGCTTCCCTCCCGCCCTCCCTGTTTTTGGTGAGTATTGGGTCCCTCCAGGTAAAGGGGGGTTATGTTGGTTCCTGGGTGGTTGTTGGTCTTTGGAGGCGGTTCTTATCTTGGAAGGTAAAAACAATGGTGTGGGACCCATCGGTGGTATGGGGTGCCCGGGGACATTCCCAGTTAACCAAGGTTTAACTGGAAGGTGGTGGTGCTGCACTGCGGATGGTATGGTTGTCTCCGAGCTGGTTGGTTGCGGCTGGAGGCCTAGTGTATATGGTTGTCCGCAGGTGCATTTCGGATTGTTTGGGGGTGCCTTTGAAGACCAACAACAATTCTTTGGGTTTCTGTTATAAGGAATGGTTGGTGTATTTAAATTTGTGTTGTTAATAAAAGGCCATGTTGGCCATTTACTCCAAAAATTGGTGTCATGTGTTTTGTAAGTATAATGGGTTAAGGGGAAAGGGGGGTTTGTACGGAACGGTCATGGTGGTAATGGGGAGTGGACAAGCCTATCTCTGGTGCAATAGTCATGTTTAGCCACCTGCCGCCTAGGACCCGGAACCATTCACTTACAGTACATACATTGCACATTATTTTCTATATGTTTTTAGCTATATTTTCCAAAAGGTAGTTATCTGTAATTATACAGTCAGCATTACAGGCAGCACAGTGGCTAAATGGTTAGCACTTCCGCCTGGCAGTACTAGGGTCGTTGGTTTGAATCCCAACCACAGCACCACCTGAATGACTAAATAAATATAGGTGGTGCCAGAACAATATTAGTAATAATTATAAAGATCAATTTCTATGTCAATAATACCAGCTGCAAAATCTGCCCTATAATAAGGTGCATATAAATACAAAAATACTCAGACTGTGCTAGTAAAAAAATTATTATAAAATAAGTGTCCGTGAAAAAATATATCTAGATCATATTGCACAATTGTGATTTAATTAAGGTAATACACTATTTGTAGTTTTTGAGGTTTTTCAACGTTGGATCAGTATATCTGGAATTTCGTACACAGTATCACAAGAGACGATGTGGAGGTGGAAGAGAAAGTGATTTGAATTTTTTAGAGACATTTTGGGACATTATTTATATTTATATTTTATCTTGTATTATTATGTTATAATTTTATATCTTATATATGTGTAGATTTTCACTTTAGAAGGTATAATTTTAGGGGATAAGGAAAGAGTCATTATATTTATTGTATTACTTTCAAGGGTGAAAGTTCTTTTCTCTTTTTTTGGGTTGTAGTTATTTAAATTTGGGAGTTTTCGTAATATTGGTATTCAGCTGTAAAATCTGCCCTATAATAAGGTGCATATAAATACAAAAATACTCAGACTGCGCTAGTAAAAAAATTATAATAAAATAAGTGTCCGTGAAAAAAGTAATGTCCGTGAAAAAATATATCTAGATCATATTAAATCATAAAAAAAAAAAAACCATTTTCAAAGGAGATACCATAACTAAATCATATCAATCATATAAAGTCCCAAAAAATATATACCGTATATACTCGAGTATAAGCCGACCCGAATATAAGCCGAGGTACCTAATTTTACCACAAAAAACTGGGAAAAACTATTGACTTGAGTATAAGCCCCATCATTAGTATCAGTGGGAGGAATAGTATCATTGGTGTCAGTGGGAGGAATAGTGCCCCATCATTGGTGTCAGTGGGAGGCCCATCATTGGTGTCAGTGGGAGGAATAGTGCCCCATCATTGGTATCAGTGGGAGGAATAGTGCCCCATCATTGGTGTCAGTGGGAGGAATAGTGCCCCATCATTGGTATCAATGGGAGGAATAGTGCCCCATCATTGGTATCAGTGGGAGGAATAGTGCCCCATCATTGGTATCAGTGGGAGGAATAGTGCCCCATCATTGGTGTCAGTGGGAGGAATAGTGCCCCATCATTGGTGTCAGTGGGAGGAATAGTGCCCCATCATTGGTATCACTGGGAAGAATAGTGCCCCATCGTTGGTGTCAGTGGGAGGAATAATGCCCCATCATTAGTATCAGTGGGAGGAAAAGTGCCCCATCATTGGTGTCAGTGGGAGGAATAGTGCCCCATCGTTGGTGTCAGTGGGAGGAATAATGCCCCATCATTAGTATCAGTGACACCAATGATGCGGCACTATTCCTCCCACTGACACCAATGACACTTGCTGACCCCTGTTGCAGTATGGTGCTGCTGCAGCCAGCATATGTGGTTGCAGCAGCACCTCTGCACTGCACACTTACCGGCTTTTCCCTCACTCGATTTTCGCGGGTCCGCTCAGCTCCGCCTCCTCGCCCGTGATTGGCGCCTGTGTACCTTTCCTGAGCTACAGTTCTGGCGGCCAATCACCGGTGAGGAGGCGGAGCCGAGCGGCAGGAGTGAGGGAGTGGCCGGAGTGACGGAAGGAGCAGCGCTTCCTGGATGGATCATCGTGGGAGCCAGGTAAGAGACAGCAGCCCTCTGCCCACCCCTGTACGTGCCCCCCTTGACGTTGACTCGAGTATAAGCCGAGGGGGGCGTTTTTCAGCACACAAAAAAATGTGCTGAAAAACTCGGCTTATACTCGAGTATATACGGTATATAAAGTGGTGATGATGAAATAAACTCAAACGAAATCCACCAAGTGTATCCACCACCGTATAAACTGAATAAACTCACCACAGCAATATGTTGATCATATTATAAACCAACATAAGCGCTTTTCTGTTCTGGGAGCAATGATCTGTAGACAGTTGAAACAAAGCTTTGGCTTGGAAAAAAAAAACATATCCATTACCCCTGGAGCAATACTCTGCAGGAGACTCTGTGGCTCTGTAGATCCACTTCATTCATACACCATCCTTTTCATAGGGTATTGGAATGGCCACTCGGAATCAGGGGCAGACCGACCATTTGGAAACTCGGTCAGTAGGGGGCCCCATGAGATGCCCCTGATACCTTTTTCATAGACTTTTTTGAGTTTGGGAAAGGACACAGGGGCCCCATAATCCCCTATTGCCCGGGGCCCCATGAGTTGTCAGTCCACCCCTGCTCGGAATATACAAAGAACAGAAGCTCATGGTGCAGTACTTCATAAAATAGTTGCTTTAATAAAACTAAACACACTTACAAAAGACGGTGTCCCAGCCGACACCAGCACAATCAGCATAACCAGATACAAGTAAACAGACCTAGCTTCATCGCACATGCACTGTAATGATCACTGAGAACACCACTCAAGCCCCACCCTACGTGTTTCGTCATTCGACATCCTCACGGAGCGGATGAGTGTGAGACGTCCTACCGCAGCACCACCTGCCTGGAGTTTGCATGTTCTCCCTGTGCCTGCATGGGTTTCCTCCCACACTCCAAAGACATGCTGGTAGGTGAATTGACTCCTGTCTAAATTGTCCCTAGTATGTGTATGTATGAATGTGAGTTAGGGACCTTAGATTGTACACCCCTTGAGGGTCAGGGATTGATGTGAACGTGCAATATATATGTAAAGCACTGCATAAATTGACGGCACTATATAATAATAATTGACGACACTGTAATAATAATAAATAATAATTGTGTTCAAGGGAGGGGCAGCTGCCCTGATTTCAGCTTCGTCATACATGGGGGGGGGGAGGTTATCATGTGGGGAGCCCTCATAGCACACACACTCTAGATCAGTAACTGGCAACCAGCAGGGGAGCAGCATCATGTATGCTCTGACCAGGGGCAGATTGACAACTCATGGGGCACCCGGGCAATAGGGGATCATGGGGCCCCTGTATCCTCACCCACACTCAAA